CTGGTCTGGATTCGAACTCCGGACAGAGATCGTGGGAATCAAACTCTAGGCCCACAGGTTGAAAACGGCGCCTGTAGGTGCCCGTGTAGCAGACCCGACCTTATCGCTTCCATCTGAGCGAAGCCTCTCTGCTATGGTAACCCTACCTCGAGTTAATCCGGCAAGAGATTCGGCGCCATCTTGTCAAAACTAAAGGGAAGTAACACTTAGTGGGAGAAAACACAAACATGGAGTAGTCCGCCCCTTTCTGTTTATTTATTTTTTCTCTCTGATTTTCTCCCAACTTAAAAGAGTAAAAAAAATATGTTAGCTTATAAAAAGATATGCGTGGATTCTTTCGGACCGCGTGAGTTTGATGGTCACTTTATACACGTGTGTCCGTCTGTTTGGTGGACGAGTCTACTCACTGTAGGCTGCACGTGAGAGCTAATCTCCCCGGGCTTTGTCTGCTCACCAGGACGAGGGTAAGCCCTAAGGCAGGAAGGGGATTGTGGGATTATCGGGATTAACAATACCGTACTCGCCTTACCGAGCACACGTCTCTGTGTTGGCACACATGTGAGCAGCATGCACGGTAAGTTGACCTTGAGGGAGAGAGTTAGGTTTAGACTGAAGGTTACACTGGAATGTATTCCTAGCTTCATGGGCTAGAAGATTTCATACGTTAACTTCTACTCGATTACCCCCGTTAGCTAAGGTTGTATACGGTAAAAGATCTTCACAATAGCATAATCATCACTTACCGACATGCCATGCCAGTACTCACTTCCACCTTACCATCAAAGACGACATCACTAGATCACTATCAATTTTTTAAATCAATATCCATTTTTACATCCCTGCGCATCAACCATTGACAATGAACATCCTTGGCTATCAACATACAAGACTATCAAAACAACATTCGGGACACTGTCAAAATCCAATCCGCTGTACTACCCTTTTTGACGTATGAAACATGTTTCAGATTCAAGATCTATCAAAATGCAAGTCACCATCAAACACAAAGCCCCATTCAACTACATACCGCAATTTTAACTCACACTGCTGTTAGAAATCTTGAACTACTACATTACTCTTTTAACGTCATCAGTTCTTGTATGTAGATCATGGACATTCGTCAGGGAGTCTCGTCTTGTGCTGCATCTATCATCTGGCAAAATTGCTGCATCTATTATCTGACAAAACTGCAGCACGTATCGTCTAACAAAACTGCTGCACGTATCGTCTAACAAAACTGCTGCACGTATCGTCTAACAAAACTGCTGCACGCATTATGTGATACAGCAGACGTCACCCGAATATTGAAAAAGATTTTAAAATCTTCCGCCCCAGCAGTCTTCCACAGTGCCATTACAATTCCCATTTTTTCAAGCGATCATTAACGGACCAATCACGATTGTCCGGCCATCAAGCCACGCAGCCAACCAAAATAAACGCAGTAATTGCCGAGGGGAGACGACTCCAGTCAACCTCCGGCTTCCGAACATCCGTTTTGTGTAGGGCAGGGATATAACTGCGTCATAACTAGAGTTTTTTTCTTCGAAAAATATTTTTTGTTAAATCGTACACAGCAGACATTGTATAATCCATAACAAGAAATCCTAAAACTAATTAATTATTCTAATTAAAATAACTAGTCTCAAACACCGTTGATTTTCTGAATAGATTATATATTCAAGTAGTGGAGAAAGAGAACGGCAATTGAGCAGGGGAGAGAATAACAGTAGACAAGTCTAAGTGGAAGAAAGTGGTGGTGTAGGGCAGGGGTCGGCAACCTTTTGAGACGGAAGAGCCAAAAGTTACAATTTACCAAATTTCCAAGTTTTTAAAGAGCCACTAACATTTTTATTTCAATATTATCATTTTGATAAGGAATATATATATATATATATATATATATATATATATATATATATATATATATATATATATATATATATATATATATAATTTAAAATAAATAGCTTTCAATATGAAATAAATTTATTCATATAAAAACACACATGTTTCGCAGAAAAAAAATTTAACGTATTTTATCTAGCTCTGCTAGAATAATAAAATCAGTAATCATACTATATAAGTTTAATTAATTTAATTGAATACTATTTACAATAGTTTGGCCTTGCATGCCGTTTAAAAAATTTGTTTAAACCTGGCTCATAACTTATAATTGTTTAAACCTGGCTCATAACTTTGTTCAGTTTCAAGCACGCCTCTATTACTTAGTTAGTTGGCTTCTATACTCTGTATTACATTCATGCAAGAAAACTCTTGCTCGCATGAATGTTGACCCGAAGATCGTCAGCACTACAAATGCCAACTTCTTCTTTACCTCACTGTGGCATCCTTGAAGACTATTCCATCCGTCAAATAAAATCGCCTCAACTCGCGGCATTTCTTTTAGAGCAGTCCACCTGTGCAGCGAAACGTGCTTGTTTTTCTGGACCTCCAAATCTTCTAACTTGCTCTTAATATATGTAAACTTACCACTCCACAAATGTTTGGTTTTCAAATCTATCAATTTCATTTGAAGCGAACCAGCATCAATTCCAAATAGCTCAAAGTTAATCTCATTTGTTTTTGTGTTGAGAGGATCTACTATGAATGCTTATTGTTTATGTTTATTATTATATAGTTCATTACCGAGTGTTGTAGAACAATATTTTTATGAGTTTTGAAAATAAATTAAAATAAGTATTAATATTTGTGAAGAGTTGAAGAGCCGCATCTCGACACCTAAAGAGCCGCATGCGGCTCGCGAGCCGCAGGTTGCCGACCCCTGGTGTAGGGTAAAGTTTGCATGGTCTGTAGAGACACAGGGATGGGTGGGTGGGTGGACAGACACACGGACGGACTGGCGAATGGGGTGGGGGTGGAATGAGGATAATATTGTAGTTTCGGTGAATTTGTTAATGAAAAGTGTATATATCGTGTCTGTATGTATCTAGGTTTTTCCATGTGTATGGCTTATGTCTCTGTGTGCGTATGTCTCTATGCCTGTTTGTGTCTCTCCATGTGTATGTCTCACTATGTGCATGTCTGTATATGTCTGTATTTGTCTTTTTATTTCTCAATGTGTTTGTCTAAATGCCTCGTTATTTGTATGTCTCTGTATGCGTATGTCTGTATTTATCGCTGTCCTTTTCTATGTGTTTGCCTGTGTTTTGTGTGTGTGGGTGTATGTGTGTGTATGTCTGTATGTTTGTGAGTGTATTGAACCTCTAGAACTACTAGACAAAACAAGATATTTAACTTCTGCTTTCCTCATACACAACGAGGCTAATGACGTAAGTAGCACTCTCTTGGCATCTCATTAGTACACATAATGATAGATAGTTAATTGATCTCCACTGCCGCATGGATGGATGCATCCACTAATCCACAGCGGATGGGAGATGAACGAATTATCTAATTACACGGGATCAAATCCCACTGGAGCTACGATGCGCTTTTTTTTCTAGAAACGGAAATCCCCGGTCCGCATCCCTGTCCTGTGTGACCCCGTGTTAATTAATTATCTGAGTCTGATTAGTAAATATTTTATTTTCTAAAAAATTAAAACGAGAGCTTACTTTGGATTTGAACCTGTACCAACTAGCCTCGCATGTCTCACCACGTGTGGAATATCATGGCAACAATTAAAAAGTAAAACCAAAAAAAAAAAAATTTCTTTCGTATATCAGGTTGTTCACAGATTTACCGAGAACCTTAATATATAGCCTGGTTGGTGTATTCTTGTCAAAACTGTTTGTATGTCTGTGACAATACAAACTTGTGTGTTTGTTTGTGTTCATCAGTATACAAACATTCTAGCCATCATGTCTTGATCTTTTGGTTTCTTAGGGTGCACATACTCTAGTTTGTATGCCTCTTGTTGTAAGGGTTTCTCAACCAATTTGTTTAGGAAATAAACCGGGAGTGACCTCCCCTAAACTTTCTCGAATATTCTTATATAACTTGGAATATAGACATGATTTTTAATTACTTAAACTTTTAAAAATAGAATAGAATCTCATAGACAAAAGAATTGCGCACCAAGCGAACGCCAAAACAAAATGTGCATAATAGTGCGCAATATTATTAGTACTTTATAAATTTACATGCGTTTTTGAGAAATCGGAAATATGGTAAATTAGTACTTCCGGTCAACGGAAATTACTCAAAATTTGACAGAAGGTAGAGAATTAGATCTTTTACTTACATGTGAAATTTCATTTATCTATCCTAAATAGTACTCAAGTTATAGGCTTTTGAAAAATTCAAAGTAGAAAAAGTACCACTTCCGGTTATCGGAAATCGCTCAAAAGTTGTTACGGATCTACGATTTTGATAAAATACTTATATATGAAATTTCATCAACCTAGCTGTAACGGTACTCAAGTTATTGTGTTTACACACAGACAGACACACACACACACACACACAGACATACGGACAAGATTGCAAAATTATGTTTTTCTGTATCAGTGAGGTGTAAAACGTCGAGATTTGTAAAAATCTCGATTTTTTTTTTGGACGATTACAAGACTTTCTCTATACTTCGTATATACGAGAAAGTAAAAATGGTAAGATTGCAAAACAATTTTAATATTTTTTCAAAATATTTAGGAAAAAAAGGTGTTATCAAGAACGTGACACATCAAATATATTTTGGACATAATATCTTGTCAGAATCTATATATAAAAATTCAAAATAACGCCGGTTGAAGATTTTGAAGATATAAAAACTCCAAGTCAATATTTATTGTCTAAATTCGAGTTGCTTTATAATAAAACATTTTGTTGTTTTTACTTTCTCGTATACGAAGTATAGAGGAAGTACTGTAATCGTGCAAATAATCGAATTCGAGATTTTGACAAATCTCAACCTTTTAATGGAGATCACTCCCGCTTTATTTTTTTAACTAGTAAAAATTGTTTTTATTCTAGACAGACACAAATCAGATTCTTCTTTTTGTTCTAGACAGACACAAATCAGATTCTTCTATTTGTTTCAGAACACATCCCCGTCAACGACCAGTGAGACAGTTTTTTTTTCCACCTGTCCGTCTGCTCCTAGTCAGTCAGGTAAGATGATTTTACAATTATCTTTTTTTTTGTCAGTCTGCTTGAACTCTTTGTGTCTGACTCTATTTCCCCTGCTTTATATACCAACATATCAATTAGTTTTAAAATTGGAAGTACAAACTAAAAAAAATATTCAATTTAAAAAAAAAAGAAAAAAAATGGCATTAAAGAACCACCATACTTATTTTTGTATTAAAATTAGACGACGGAACCGGCATCAATTTTGTATCAACTTGACACTAAAGGACGACCTTAGTTTTTGTTTGAAGTTAAATAAGACGCACGGGTCTTCATAGTTTTTGTATAAAACTGACACGAAAGGACCACTATAGTTTTTGTATAAAACTGACACGAAAGTACCACCATAGTTTTTGTATAAAACTGACACGAACGGGTCTCCATAGTTTTTGTATCCGTATGACACGAAAGGGTCACCATACATTCTGCATTAAAATGTTCCTTTCATAACCAGCATCTTAAGGGGAGCTCACCATGTGATTAAATTCAAAGCAAGGGGAGCTAATGCCCCAATTAACCGCCTTCGTATCATTAAAATAAACCGTATATAACAACGTCAGAGAACTACAAATCATTTAAATACGAAATTAATAGGCTAGCAGAGACGCTTGTATGTGCTATTTTTTTTCACATTTTTTTTTTGAAAGTTTGTCTCCAAATAATATTAGCCTGGGCAAAAACAAGTTTTTTCCCGCTGAGTTCTGCCCGTATAGTAAGAGGCTGTTCAATTAGAGACACGCTAGAAGCTTTGTCTCTTTAATCTTAATCCAGTTTCATCTCTTGGACCAGCAAAACAAGAGATCGATAACCCGTGGGGGGTAGGGCAGTGAACTGTGTGGGGGACAGGTTAGAGGCTCTGTATGGGGGTGGGTGGAGGGTAGACAGGAGCTGTCTAGGGTAGATGGAGACAGATCATGTTCTATAAGAATGGGGGGGGGGGGGGGGGGGTTCTGTGTGAAAAAAGGAAAAGAGGTTCTGTGAGGGGTCGAAGAAACTGTCTGAGGCTCTGTGTGGACAGGCCATGGGGCTCTGTACGGGGAAAAACAATAAGGGAAAGAATAAGAAGGTATCAAGGGAGACTACAATATAAACCATTAAGGGAAGTAATAATTAGGTTGAAGGAAGGTGTATACTAGCGATCCTTTCTTAGCTCAAGACTAATGTAGATAATAAAGTATATAACAAGCCTTTTGGTTTAGGGGAACTGACAATATGTTGTATTTATAGGTTCTTATGTATAGTTCAGTTAAATATAGTGGTCAGTAGAATGGTTTGGTCAGTAGAAAGGTGAGGTCAGTATAGAGGTGAGGTCACTAGAGTGGTGAGGTCAGTAGAGTGTTGAGGTCAGTAGAGTGGTGAGGTCAGTAGAGTGGTGAGGTCAGTAGAGTGGTGAGGTCAGTAGAGTGGTGAGGTCAGTAGAGTGGTGTGGTAGTGTGGTCAGTAGAATGGTGAGGTCAGTAGAATGGTGAGGTCAGTAGAGTGGTAAGGTCAGTAGAGTGGTGAGGTCAGTAGAGTGGTGAGGTCAGTAGAGTGGTGAGGTCAGTAGAGTGGTGAGGTCAGTAGAGTGGTGAGGTCAGTAGAGTGGTGAGGTCAGTAGAGTGGTGAGGTCAGTAGAGTGGTGAGGTCAGTAGAGTGGTCTGGTAGTGTGGTCAGTAGAGTGGTGAGGTCAGTAGAGTGGTCTGGTCAGTAGAGTGGTGAGGTCAGTAGAGTGGTGAGGTCAGTAGAGTGGTCTGGTAGTGTGGTCAGTAGAGTGGTGAGGTCAGTAGAGTGGTCTGGTCAGTAGAGTGGTGAGGTCAGTAGAGTGGTGAGGTCAGTAGAGTGGTGAGGTCAGTAGAGTGGTCTGGTAGTGTGGTCAGTAGAGTGGTGAGGTCAGTAGAGTGGTCTGGTCAGTAGAGTGGTGAGGTCAGTAGAGTGGTGAAGTCAGTAGAGTGGTCTGGTAGTGAGGTCAGTAGAGTGGTGAGGTCAGTAGAGTGGTCTGGTCAGTAGAGTGGTCGTGTAGTGTGGTCAGTAGAATGGTGAGGTCAGTAGAGTGGTGAGGTCAGTAGAATGGTGATGTCAGTAGAGTGGTGAGGTCAGTAGAATGGTGAGGTCAGTAGAGTGGTGAGGTCAGTAGAGTGGTGAGGTCAGTAGAGTGGTGAGGTCAGTAGAGTGGTCGTGTAGTGTGGTCAGTAGAGTGGTGAGGTCAGTAGAGTGGTCTGGTCAGTAGAGTGGTCGTGTAGTGTGGTCAGTAGAGTGAAAAAAAAAGTATAACAGCTTCAGACAAATATGATTCACATTATGAAAATAAACTCATGAAAATAAAACTAGAAAAAAAGGCGTGATAGAATTCTTCAAAGCCGAAGAGAATTCAGCGTGGGGAAAGTTTCCCTAAATTAGTTTCATTTACTATCGTAATTCGTTCTTGTACAGATACTAGAGAAAACCTTAGCTACGAACGAGCCAGTTTTGTATACGTGTAGTAGGGCCACCAGACAAGCTTGTGCTTCAAGACGTCGTTAGTTACAACTTGGGATTTGTGTTTTGGTAGCACAAATTTAAAACTAGCAACAGTTTAAAACTAGCAACAGTTTTAAACTAGCACCAATTTAAAACTAGCAACAGTTTTAAACTAGCACCAATTTAAAACTAGCACCAATTTTAAACTAGCACCAATTTAAAACTAGCACCAATTTAAAACTAGCACCAATTTTAAACTAACAACAGTTTAAAACTAGCACCAATTTAAAACTAGCACCAATTTTAAACTAGCAACAGTTTAAAACTAGCACCAATTTAAAACTAGCACCAATTTTAAACTAGCAACAGTTTAAAACTAGCACCAATTTAAAACTAGTAGCAATTTAAAATAGCGCAACTTTAAAACTAGCACAACTGTAAAACTAGCACAACTTTAAAACTAGCACAACTTTAAAACTAGCACCAATGTGAAACTAGCATCAATTTAAAATAGCCCCAGTTTAAATTTGGTACCTACACAAACTAGCATATTGTAAACAAGACCCTATTTAAAACGTAGGTATGCTGGGATCTTAACTCACATTGAATAAATAAAACAATAGTTCAGACAAGTAAACAAAATAGGTTGTCTATACGGAGGCTAGATTTTACTTTACAATTTTAACTATAAGAAACTCTTACATCAAAGTAAGTGTAAAATTCTAATTCCCGTTTTGTGTAATTCAAACATCCATTAATTAACTCCTTGCGTTGATTACAATAACCTAATCACTTGTCCTCATTCACAGCTAGTTGAATATTATCATTAATCTTTGATTACTTTACTCTAATTAGCATCTTAACGAGGCATTTATTATATATTGTAACTGTAGAGGTGTGTTCGAAATCTGTGACTTTAGTTATAAAAGACATTTCTTTTCTGTTGCAATACTGATTTTTTTAATATAATTTTTTTAATAACAGCTATCATAAACACCGCATGTTGCTAATCTGTTCTTGATGGATATGCTATCAGAGGGAAAATACAACATTGATACCCGATTACGTCCCTTTGAGTTTGTTGTCCTTTAAACAAGCACAAAATCCTATTCAATTGCCTAACAGATGTTTTAACCGTCTCAAACCCTTCGTGTTGGTTATCATTTGCTCTAACGTCGGACCACACCCTTACGACACATGATAGTGTCATTATCACACTGTCATACGAAGTATACTCTTACGTCATTTAGTGTCAAATGTCACCCAGAGGTATCTAAAAGAAATCGCGTGTCCACATTACCAACTGCTTGAGCGTACAGTAACTTTGTTTAAAACTTGCCAATTTAGGGCTGGTCTGTTGTTTGTTACAAACATTTTTTATTGTTGTTTTCTGTCTGATTGTCTCTAGCACTTGTCTCGTCCAAGTTATCACGGCAACACCATCACAGGCAATAGGAACAGCAACACTCTCACACAACACCATTACAGGCAATGGGAACACCCGCAAACAAAACCCTCACACAACAACCTCACACAACACCCTCACTTTACTGCAACACCCTTACACAACACCATCACAGGCGATGGGAACAGCAACACCTCACAGTCAATGGAAACAGCAACATCATTACTGCAACATCATTACAGCAACACCCTGATACATCACCCTCATAGCAACACCCTCACAGAAAACACCCTCACACAATCATACATCACCCTCATACATCACCCTCACACAACACCATCAGTGGCAATGGGCACAACAACACCCTCACAACAACACACTCACAACAACACCCTCACAACAACACACTCACAACAACACACTCACAGCAACACACTCACAACAACACACTCACAGCAACACACTCACAGCAACACGATCACAGCTACCCCCTCACAGTAACACCCTCACACAACACCCTCCAGCAAATGGCCACAACAACACCATCCCGTGATGTGAAACTGACTTCAAAATTTATATTCATTAATACAACGGCGTACTATCTCATGCTCCAAACACTGACAAGTGACATGGCTCACCCCGAGTCAATGAAATGATCTGACATGACATGACATACGTCACACAGCACTGACATTACCCACAACATGGCACTAACATGACCTCCCTCTGGCACTTGGCACTTACATGACCCGAGTTTTTGGAAGGTTCTCACACTTGGCATCCCAGAGTCCCCGGCTTGTTTTCTGATTGGCTGTCATACTTGACCCTTTCACCTTAATTAACAAAGTTGAAGGTCGTGTAAATTTAAATCCCGTATTTGTGTGGATTGCGCATGTCATAACAAACCAGAAACATCCTAATCTTCAGCCTCCCCTCCCCTAATTCCCACCCCTCCCTACCTCCCCCTCCCACCGCGTACATCGGTGTAGATTTACTCACCATCTTCAGCACGTGCAGGTGAAGACGCACATGTCTCGCGCTGTTGTAGGATTTTTTATTTCAGTTTATTCTTGTTTCACTTCTGCCCTTCCTCTCTCACACCTCTCTCACTCTCTCTCTCTCTCTCTCTCTCTATCCATTC